TGCCACCTGTGATCCCAGTACTCTGGAGAGCTGATGCAGGAGGATTACAAGTCCAAGCCCAGCCTGGGCAACTTGGTGAGACCCTGTCTCATAAAAAAATAATAATAATAATAATAAAAGGGGTAGGGATCTCGGCCAGTGCAAAGACCCTATGTTTAATCCCCAGTACTGAAAACACATACATACATACATAATTACATACATACAAAATCACAATGCGATACTACTTTACATTCACTAGAATGACTATAATAAAACAGACAAGTATTAGAGAGACCATAGAAAAACTGGAGCCCTCATACATCACTTGTGGGAATATAAACAGGCAGCCACCTTGGAAAACAGTTTGGCAGTTCCTTAAAAATGTTAACTATATCCTCAGCAATTTCATTCCTATCTACTCAAGAGAAATCAAAACGTGTATCTACACAAAATCATATGCACTATCAGAGTATCTCCAAATTGAAAACAATTTAAATGGCCAACAATTGGTGAATGGATAAACAAAGTGTGGTGTATTCGCACAATGGAATCGTATTTGGCCATAAAAAGGAATGAAGTACTGATAGATGGTAAAACGTAGATAAGCCTCAAAAATGTAACACTAAGTAAAGGAAGCCAGATAAAAAGGGTCACATATCATATGATTCCATTTATATGAAATGTCCCCAAAAGGCAAATTTATAGGTGGCAAACAGAATACTGGTTATTGGGTCTAGAAGCAGAAGCTGAGAAATGATCACACAGGGTAGGCACTATGCATCTTTTTCTGGTAACTAAATGTTCCCCAACTGGGCTGTGGTAATATTGGCACAACTGTGAATTTACTAAAAAGTACTATTTACACTTCAGGTGAATTTTATATGTGCATTATACCTCAATAAAGTAATTTTTTAAAATGCTACATGGATTTCAACTGTTTATATCTTCCAAATATTTTTCCTTTTAACTCTGATTCTTAAAAATAACAAAACTTTTTTCTAATCATTCCTACTTTGCAACCAATATTGTAACTTCCAGTCAATTTTTAACAGGTTGTGAAAGCTAATTCTCATAAGCGTGATTCATTTTCTTTAATAATCAAGGTGACACTTGATAATGAGTTTCCCTCACTCTTCAATAATCCAATGAGTTGATGTAATCAGGGAAAATGAATGATCTAATGACTCATCCTTTATACTGCTTTACAAAGCTGTAATGATCCTAAAGCCCCTAAATCTGCTAAAGAAATAAAAATACCACCTGTCAAAGACAATGAATTATACATTCTCTGGCATGTACCCTGTAGATAGATCACTGTCAAACTTTGGTATGATACTTGCTTCTGCATCCTGGGTTTTTAATCCTTTTTTGCCCTCCTTCACATAGAAAAAAAGAATTTATATTGATGTTCATTAGACTTGGTTTTTTCCTCCTCAAGAAAGTCCCAAATACAGTACCAATCTCTTTCCTGAGATCTTAAGACTGAAGATTTCTTCCAACTCATTTATCTCCTAAAACATATAACCCAGAAAAATATCTTCTACTTCTTGTCTATGGTAGTAAATTGACCCTTTGAAGACAGAGATCATGAAAGACTCACATGGATAGTTTCTCTGTGAAGCAGACATATTCTTAATTACTTTCCCTCTCTCCATTTATTGCTCCATTTCCAAGACTCACCAAAGGATTTCAGAAATACCTGGCTTGGGCTGTATTTGCTCTACAAGGGGCCTGATGGCAGGTTATTGTCCATTATTGTCCCCAACCAATCTTTTAAAAGACAAAATGAATTGTGGTTCATAGAATGAACCTTGAAATTATATAGACACATAAATGTTTATAAGTAGAAAAAGGTTTTCAATGTAAGGATTTAATTTAGTATCTGTCTTAGGCTCTAGTTTCATTCCAACCACCTCTCCCTCTATACATTCCTAAATGTTAAATTGTGGGAAAAAGTAGTTACAACTACATATTTGTTACATTCATTAAAGTGCATGTAGGGTGCTTGCTTCCATAGCAATATTCTAAAATTGGAATGATACAGAGATCAGCATGGTCTCTGTGCAAGGATGACACACAAATTCGGGGAGTGTTCCTTATTTTTAGACACAGTAATTATCAATAATAGTATTTCAACCTACCTAGCTGTGTGGGTATGAAGACAGGTGCTGATTGCTATTAAGCAGACATGTAAGTTTTCTTATTTAAAACTATTAAACTTGGGCTACTAAACAATAAAAATTTAAAACAATTAAAATATTTTTAAAGGAAAAGAATGCATGTAGGCAAAAAAAAATTTTTTTTGGCAGTACTGAGCACCTAACCCAGGGCATTCACACTGAGCTACATCCTCAGCCCTTTTTATTTTGAAAGTGGTCTCACTAAGTCACTGGGTTGCCCAGATAGCCTGAACTTGTGATCCTCCTGCCCAACCTCCCAGAGTGCTGGCATTATAGGCAAGCACCTCCACACCTGGCTAAAGTCAACTCTTCTCTGGTCTAACAAGGGTCTATCTAGGTAAAAAAAATTAAATCAATTTCAACAAATACGTATTGAATACCCACTCTTCAATAGACCTTGGAATAGTCAAGTGCCAACAAGGAACAGTTTCTGACTTCAGGAAGTTTACAGGTTGTTGGGAAAGAATGAACCATAACTACTTTTAGTTGGATTTGGATAAGTACAATATTATATATAAAAACAAAAAGCTGTAGTAACTGGGAATAACTGGAAAATATTTCAAAGAGCTGACTTGACAAAAAAAATTAATTCTTCAACTAGAATGACTGGAAATAGTTAAGAAATACTGGAGGCCAGGCCTGGTGATGCATACCTGTAATCCCAGCACTCAGGAGGCTGAGGCAGGAAGAGCACTGTGAATTCGAGGCCAGCCTGAGCTACATAGTGAGTTCAAGGCCAGTCTGAACTATATATCGGGACCCTGTCTCAAGAAACAAAACAAACAAACAGAATACTGGAGAAGAAAGTCAAGCAAGGTAAGGTATGTTATAGTACTGAGTGAATGAAAACATACTGAGAAATCAGACTGAAGTTTAAGATGATAATACAGGCTAATGTTTATTAAGTACTTACCATGTGCAAATACTATTAGACTTTCCACATACTAATTTATCTGATCTTCATGACCCTGGGAAGAATGTACTATTATAATTCTCATTTTATACATGACAAAATCGAGGTATAGAAAGATTAAGTAACCTGCTCATGACTGCACAAACACAACTAAAAGATATGGAGCCAAGTTCTTGAAATCAATAAATAATAAAGAAGACCAAATTCTGTCTCACTCTTGAGTATACTTATTGTAAGAGCAGCTAACAGGTATCTTATCTATCTCTTCTCTCATTAATCCCTAGTCTATTTTTCAAGGTCTAGCTCAAATACTGCCTTCTCTGCAAGGCTTTTCTTGATCCTCCCAGCTGAACAGAACCACTTTCTAAGCTTCACAGAATTTTATCTGCATCAATCTTGGGTCATAATATTTTGTCCTGGCATTACAGATCTTGTGTGCATCATTTCCTCTTTTTTTTTCTTTCATGTGATCCACTTGCTGCTCTCAGAACAGTGCCTGGCATGTAACACAGCTAAATCTCTAGAGTGCTTACTCTTTGTGATGCATTGTGGTAAGCATTTTAAAGGAATTATATCACAAAAGCCTTACCACACCCAATTCAATAGCTATTTTCAGCCATTATTGTGAGCTAAAATACTAGATGCATCTTAAGCTCAGTGAACAAGACAGACACCGTTTTTGCCCTCATGAAGCTGACAGTCTACAGAGGCTGGTATACTAGTATCCCCAGGTAAGAAGATGAGGAAAAGTGGACCTCAAAAAAGTAATTTGTTTGCCCAGAATCACACAGTAAGAAAGTGGCAGAGTTAAAATTTAAACCAGCTGTCCAGACTGGATATTCAGGACCCTATGCACATAACCACTGTGTTCTAAAGGAGATACCTGATAAACACTTCAGGAAGGAAAAGTTGGGAATACTCCTGAAATGAAGGATCACCTCAAGGATAATGAGGGGTTTCACTCCTTTTTCAGGGAAAGCAGGAAATGCATAAAAGTACAGACGGAGGTTGTAGTAGTAGCCTAATGCTGGTCTGCTAGCTCATTATTCCTCATCAAGGGCATATTTGACTAGCATGTTCTCTTAAAGTGAGCCCCACCACGCAGTGTCCCTTACTTAATAGGCCCTCTTGGGCATCAAGGCTTTGCTGCTCGCTAGGTGGTGTAGCTGAAGACACTGACACCAGTCACCTGTCACCTGGTGCTCATCTTCCAGACAGTGGAGTAAACGATAAGTAGAGTTCCTTACTTTAACCTGGTACAGTTATTCTTGAAAGGTGGATTCAGACTCCAAGGGCCGTCCAAGAGGGTGCGAATCTGTCCTTCCACTGGAGGGGTGACAGGATTATGAGAGACCCTACAACTCCTCAGGCGGCCCCTCCCAGCGCGACAGGAACCCCAGCCTAGCGCCTCCATTCCGAGCTATCAGACCGCTGGCCGGACAAGGCCATCTTGGCCGCCACATTCTTTGGCCTAATCACCTGCGCAAACAAAAGCGGTTTTACAGTAACGATGTCCCTAACTATAGACCAGCAGAAAGAGACTTGTCTCAATCCTCATAGCTTTTGTTGTTGTTGTTTTTTGTTTTTTGGACAGGCTCCCGCTATGTAGTTCTGGCTGGCTGGCCTTGAACTCAACGAAGCCCAGGCTGGCCTCAAACTCACGGTGATCCTCCTGCCTCAGCCCCCCGAGTGCTGGGATTACAGGTGTGCACCACCACGCCCGGATGTCCTCACACTCTTGACAACCTGACTTGACATCTGATGGACCAAGTTAAGCAGCGAAGACCTGTAAGAACCAGGCCCGGGTCCAGGAGTCCTTGACTGCGGACTACACCTCAGACCCTCTCGCAACTGGTTTTCAGCGGTAACCATCCAGGACGCAGAAGGCGTGTCTGGCGCAGGCCATCCCGCCCCTCCTCACCATCGGCCAATGGCCGGCCGCGCCGGCGCCGCGCGCTACAAGCCACCTCCCTCCCAAGATCTCTGGGCGCGTGCGCCTCGCGAAGCTGGCCGGGTGAGGGTTTCCCTGTGAGGGGAGGGCGGAAGTGGAGAGGGTAGATTGGTCCATCCTCAGCTCTGGCCCTGCACCCGCTGGAGTGGGCGTTCGGGCGGAAGGGGGGGAGTGGTTGCCGAGGAGGTCGAGGTGGAAGCCGGGGCTGGCCGGCTGACCCGGCCGCGTTTCTGTATGTGTGCCCGCCCAGGCAAACATGGAGAACTGTTTGGCAGCAGCGGCGCTGAACGGGTTGGACCGACGTTCCCTGCAGCGCTCGGCCAGGCTGGGCCAAGAAGTGCTGGAGCGGGCCAGGCGGAGGGCAGTGGACTGGCATTTACAGGAGCGCCCCACGGGCAGCATGGGAGTCCTTTCCCGGGAGGGGCCCTGCCGAGAAGGACGGCGGGCAGCCGACCCCCGGCGCTTTCTCCCCACAGAGGTGAGGGCCCGGGTGCTGGGACCGGCGGGTCACTGCCCCGCACATGTCAGGACGATTCTTGGAAAAGTCCTTTGAAAACTCTGTTTTTGACAGGTTCTTGGGGGCCAGCTACGGAATGAGAGTGCTTGGCCCTGATGGTTACTTTTTTCTTTAAAAATTCTTACATGCTACCGTCTGATGTTAGAGAAAACTAGCGAACCTAGGTTTTAGGTCCTTGATAAATTCTTGTCTATATTACTGGGTTGGAATTCTTTCTCAGTAAGAACCTTACTAACTTAAAGTTGCACAGGCCTTTACAAAAGTAAAAAGTACTTTAAAAACTCATGCTCCAGTAGGGAATCTTGAGTCTTACGTGTGACGTGCCATTTATTCAAATAGAGAGAAGAAAGACACCTGACCCTTAATGCTTCCTTCAGAATAATGGCTGAATTCATGGACTATACTTCAAGTCAGTGTGGGGTAAGTTGGTGTGAACCATAGCTGTGCCCAACCCCCTAATTGCCTGCCAATTGATCACAGGGCCTTCCTTCCTGGGTTTTAGGGATAATTGAGATACTCCTGTGTCCCCTGCACTGCAGATCTTCATGGGCAAATTGTAATCAGCAATTAAACCTGGTGGAAAATCCAAGTTAGAATTCATCCAACAAATATTTATTGAATTCCTAACTCTGTAATTATTGTTGAGGATGTGGTAGTGAACAAGCCAGAAAATGTCTCTGCCCTCATTGAGTTTTCAGTCTATTGGGGGAAAACAGCTTATTTGCTGAATTCTAAAACAAGTCAAATATTGGGTTTTTGTTTTTTACTTTGAACTTGTATCACTCTGGTTTTTTGTTTTTGTTTTTGTTTTTTTGCCAGTACTGGGAATTGAACTCAGGACCTTTCACTTGCCAGGCAGGTGCTATATCCCCAGTCCAGGATCACTTTGTTTTTAAGATGTATTGAAACAAAATCATAGCATTAGATCTTAACCTCTAATGTTTCTTTTAAGTCCCTGGTGAGGTAGTTAAGTGTGTCTCCGTGGGCCCATCAGTTGGTGACAAAGATTATTACGTGCAACAGATGCAATTCCTTGGTCAAGTGTGTTAGTTAATGACAGGAGCAGCTTCAAGTAGCCAAACCCATGTTCTGCCCTTTACTGGCTGTAATGCCTTAAGCTAGTTTCTTTCAGCCTTACCTGAGAAGAGTGACCAGAACACTGAGAAGCTGGGGAAAATATTTAAGATGTGAAGCTAGTTAGCTGCCCTTCATAAAATTAAAATTTCTAAAATCCTTCCCAGTCTTTATAGCCTTTTTTTTTTTTTT